TTGCTATTTTATTTTCAGTACTATTATCACCTTGGACACAATTTTTAGAATATGAGGAAAAATTACCAATGGTCTTAAATATTTCGATTTTATACATATAAAAAAAGAAGAAATATATATATGTATATACTGTGTATATTGCAACCGCGTGAACTATAAGCAATACCGCTTATTTTGCCTACGTGAAAAAGGTTTGTATAAACATATAATAAAAATCATATACACATGCAGTCTGTCCAGTCTGTATAGTGTGACTAATTTTTTTAAATTTTTCTCTACAGCGCCGTCTCTTGATAAATTAACAGAATCTCATTGACATTCGTTGAGCAAATACTATGGATAATAAAACGCAACAAAGAGCCAATATTAAATTTTGTGCCAAACTGAAAATACCAGTGGTCGAAACGAACAAAATGTTAAACAAGGTGTATAGTCAGGATTGTTTTCAGCGTACAAATATTTATAAATATTATAATCAATTTCTTAATAAAGGTAGAGAGGATATCTCAGACGGTCATTCAGTACCACGAAAATCAATTAGTCGTTCCGAAAAAGAGAAAATGGTGCTTGAAATTTTTCGATCGGACCGCTATATGCAATCTGTAATACTCATCGCGAAGCTTACCGACATAACTAAACAAACTGTATGCAATATTCTGGATAAAGATTTGCGCAAATGTAAGATTGATAACCGCTTTGTACCGCGCACGCTGAGAGACGATCAAAAAGACGCCAGAGAAAAGCACTGCAAAGACATGCTAAAAGCAGCTAATACTGATCCAAATTTTATGAAAAATATCGTAATTTGTGGCAAAACATGGTTTTACCAATATGAGCCACTCCCAGAGCAGCAGAACCGAAAAGGGACAAAATCAAAAAATGTGCGCATGCAGAAGGGCCCAATCAAGGCATTGCTCACCGCTTCTTTGACTCAAAAGGAATCGTCCACAAGGAATTTATGCCGGAAGATCAAACGGCAGACGCTGCTTATTATTTAAAAGTTCTGAATCGCTTGTGGCGCAAGATTTCTGAAATTCCTGAATACCAAGAGCAAGGGTCTTGGTTTCTTTTACACGATTATGCACCGGAACACAAATCTAAGATTGTATGCGATTTCTTGGCCACAAATCACATCACAACGCTCGAACATCCCCCGCATTCGCCTGATTTGGCTCCATATGACTTTTGGTTGTTCCCACAACTCAAATCGGCGATAAAAGGAAAGCGATACAATAATATTCCCGACATGGAACAGGCTTTGACCGTGGCTTTAGAGGCGATTAAGAAAAAAGAGTACAAAGACTGTTTCGAAAAGCTTTTTAATCAACGCTTACAG